GGGGATAGAAGAAAAGGAAAGGGAGAACGGGGTTACAGGTCACCAGTGAGTGGCCTAAACTGATCTGCACTTTTGAGGGATCCTGGACAATCCCCAACAGGAGGCTTGGCATGGGGCCAGGATAGCCCTTAAAAGTGGGGGAGCCTGCTCAGCAGCAGGAGAGTTCTGGTGGAAGACAGAGAGGAAGTGAGGCTGGAGAGCAGGAGCCTGGATGGGGGCCCAATTGGAGAGGGGCTCACCTAGAGGCAGGGGAGCTGGGAAGAAGGAAAGCTCACAACTTCCCCCCCACCCGTGTGAGGACCACTTGTGCAGCAGTGAAGGAATGGCCCAGCTACAAGGCCTGGTAGCAGCCACCAACCTACCAGCAACACAGAAGGACTAAGTGAGTAAACCTGCACACCCTGGGCTAGTAAGGGGAAAGAGGCACTCAGGTGGGAAACTGGATTAGCTTTTTGCCCTGGACTGTTCACTTTGCAGTGCCTGCAGTACAGCTGGATGAGGAAAGGGTTCTTCTGGGGTCTGAGGTGGTAAAACAGGAGATGCTGGCTAGTGCTCCAAAAAAAGACACTTTGCTGTAAAGACTTTTACATAGTTCCTAAGGTGTTTGTCCTCATATGCCATTATCCTTGGGCAATCCATACACCCCTTACCCCATCCAAGTTCAATTCCTCTAATAAAACTAATAAATAATAATAAAACAAAGCTCCTGAATGCAAGCCTGTGTGAAGGAAATGCATGTTGCTTGATTGTGTAGGACTATAGGGGGACCCAAACTTCAGCAACTCCTAAGGGGATAGAGCTACACCCAGATCATCAAAATTTACAAGTGATAGTGCTGAATTCAGTTGCCTTCTTTTCAGTTCAATACACTTTATTTCACAGTCATTTACACTAAGGCCTAAATTATCCAGCCTATTCTGCATTGCAGCCTCCTGATTAGTGCCTTAACACTCAGGAACTGGAGGGCTCTGATACATTATATGCACCCTGCAGACAGAACATTAGTCTCTCTTCTCCAGTCTCTTCTAACCCCAAAGGGCCTTTCTCGTCACACTAGCTCACTACCCTTTATGAGGGGTTTAATTCTCTTGAAGTTTGTTTCCGCCTTTCTACAATCTTGGTAATTTTAAACTTCATTCTTTGTGCTAAAGAGATATCACCTAAATTCAACATCACTCAAAAGGAGGAGTTCTCTTTTCTCTGAGATTACACTAAATTGAAACCCAGTCATCAGTGACTGAGAGCTCAAATGTGAGTCAGCCTGACAGTTTTGATAGTTCCTTTCAGCTCACTTGGGGAGAAACATCTCAGAAGCTGGGAGTGATGTTTAAATTCTTCTCCTGCAAGGCATTTGTGAGTTATGACTGTCATCTACCCTCCACACCTTTAGGCGCACCCTGAAAACCCATCTACATAGTGACTTTTACGACAAACACTTGAAAGATATACCTCTACAGAAACTAGAAGAGCTAGAGATATGGGGATATGCATTGAGAAAAGGCTGACAAAGACATCTTTATGAATTTAGCTCTTTGTGAACTACAGTAAGGCCAGACGAACACCTAACCACTGAAGTATGGTGCATTAAAGCAGTATTCAACACAAAGCCAAAAACGTAATACACTGCTCAAAAAAATTAAATGAACACTTTTTAACTGGAGTATAGCATCAAGTCAACTAAACTCCTGGGATATTGATCTGATCAGTTAAGTAGCAGAGGGGGTTGTTAATCAGTTTCAGCTGCTTTGGTCTTAATGAAATTAACAACAGGTGCACTAGATGAGCAATAATGAGATGACCCCCAAAACAGGAATGGTTTTACAGGTGGAGGCCACTGACATTTTTGTCCCTACTCATCTTTTCTGACTGTTTTTCACTAGTTTTGGATTTGGCTAGGGTCAGTGTCACTACTGGTAGCATGAGGCGATACCTGGACCCTACAAGAGTTGCACAGGTAGTCCAACTCCTCCAGGATGGCACACTAATGTGTGCCATTGCCATAAGGTTTGCGGTGTCTCTCAATACAGTCTCAAAAGCATGGAGGAGATTCCATGAGACAGGAATTTACTCTAGGAGAGCTGGACAGGGCCGTAGAAGGTCCTTAACCCATCAGCAGAACCGGTATCTGCTCCTTTGTGCAAGGAGGAACAGGATGAGCACTTCCAGAGTCCTACAAAATGACCTCCAGCAGGCCACTGGTGTGAAGGTCTCTGTCTAAACAATTAGAAACAGTCTTCATGAGGGTGGCCTGAGGGCCCGACGTCCTCTAGTGGGCCCTGTGATCACTGCCCGGCACCATAGAGCTCAATTGGCATTTGCCATTGAATACCAGAATTGGCTGGTCCGCCACTGGCACCCTGAGCTTTTCACAGATGAGAGCAGGTTCACCCTGAGCACATGTGACAGACGTGAAAGGGTCTGGAGAAGCCATGGAGAACATTATGCTGCTTGTAACATCGTTCAGCGTGACGGTTTTGGTGGTGGGTTAGTGATGGTCTGGGGAGGCATATCCATGGATGGACACACAGACCTCTACACGCTAGACAATGACACCCTGACTGCCATTAGGCATTGGGATGAAATTCTTGGACCCATTGTCAGACCCTACGCTGGTGCAGTGGGTCCTGGGTTCCTCCTGGTGCACGACAATGCCCAACCTCATGTGGTGAGAGTATGCAGGCAATTCCTGGAGGATGAAGGAATTGATACCATTGAATGGCCCCCATGCTCGCTTGACCTAAATTCAATAGAATACTTCTGGGATATCATGTTTCGGTCCATCCAGGCAGGTTGCACCTCAGACTGTCCAGGAGCTCAGTTACAGCAGTTTTTTATCTTTTGGGGTAAAGGTTTTACATAGTTAAATAAAATCCGATAATTTTAACCGTCTCTGCCAGTGGAAAATTAATTGTCTCATCCATGTAAACAGATACATTCTGCTGGACTTCAGCTTTTGAAAAATAACAGACTGGATCACAGATACAAATAGAAGCAAAAAAGCTTAAAAAAGAAAACTAATGCAGCCATCACATATAAGACCTTGTAATGGCAATATAATAAATGTTTGTTTTTGGCTTTAATACCACTTTAAGATGAAAATATTTTTCACATATTAATGTGCGCCGTGTTTGGCCTTTTCAAAATAAATGGGCTAGCACACCCATCAGTGACCCATAAATTGGACCTGCTTTTTTTGCCAGCGCATGCACTGCAATGTTTGCAAGGTGCATTGGGGTGCCATTCAAAGTGAATGGTACTGCAGTGTATTGATGCAAGTAGAATGTGGTGCCTCATGTTGTGCAAACAGGTGATGGAATATGCATGTTTCCTACAAAGAAATAAGGTCTTCTATTGGATGAACGGGATATATATTACTTTTTTGGTTATAGGTTTAACCACTTGACCTCCAGAAGATTGACCCCCCCCCCCCCCTCCTTCATGGCCAGGCCATTTTTTTGCTATACAATGCTGCGCTACTATACCTGTCATTTGCACAGTCATGAAATGCTTTACACAAATTAAATTTATATTATTTTTTTCACAAAGAGCTTTATTTTGGTAGTATTTTACCACCACTGGGTTTTTTATTTTTATAAATGAAAAATATTGAAAATTTTAAGAAAAAAAATGTTTTTACTTTTTAAAATTTCTTCACAAATTCAGGCCAAAATGTATTTTGCTACATGTCTTTGGTTAAAAAAAAATCCCAGTAAGTGTATATTAACTGGTTTGCATGAAACTGATAGTGCCTACGATTGACTGTATATTTACTGGAATTTTTTTTTCACATTAGTAATGGCGGCGATCAGCGATTTATAGTGGGATTGTTATGGTGCAGCTGGCACCACTAACTGACCCTGACATCACCAGTGACACTAATACAGTGATCAATGCTAATAAAATGAGCTGACAGTGTACTAATGACACTCTGTAGGAAGGGGTTAACATCTGGGGCAATCAAAGGGTTAACTGTGTGCCTAAAAGTGTTAAGGTGTTAACTGTGTGGTGCGTTTACTAAGCAATGTGTCAGTTTTTATCCCCTGCTTTGCAGGGAGACAAAAGCGGAACATCACCGCTGTCAGTAGTTTACCAATACAGATCTGTCTCTGACATCCGCTCCGCTGATCACTGATTCCCGGCCATGAATCATTGACGGGAACCCACTGATTGGCATGTGCTGTCGTGAATGACAGCACAGCTGGGTCAGTGGGCACGTGCGACCTCCTACCTGGAAATCATAGATCATGTATATACGTAATCCTGCACAGAGCTGGTCTTAAAGTGGTTAATACCGCTTTAAAAATATATGCCCATCTGAAAGTTTTAATTTTATTTTCGGAGAGAGTGGGCAAATGTTTTTACTGTTATCTGGAGAGATTTTCCCACACGTTCTGTCCCAGTGACAACAGCGTCACCAGAGAGGAAGTGTGGGGAAATCGCCAAATACAACAAAGAAAAGGGGTAGCAGACACCGAACTGTCGGTAAGATGGATGCATCTGGTAGAAGCATTCATGATGGACTGAACAAGGGATAGAATATGTAAAAGGTAGGCCAAGGAGATAATTGCACTGCTCGGGGTGAGAGATAATGGGGGAGTGAATAATAACCTTGTGGTGTCGTTGGTTAAGGGGCATATCTTGGAGATTTTACTATGGTTGAGGTAGCAAGGTTTGTAAAGTGATTGGTTGTGGATGTGAGGCCAATATTACATCTAGCACCCTGGCATGTAGGTAGACACTGATAGTTGTACCATTCCTCTCTATGAAGAAATCAGGAAGGGGCACGGGGGAACAAAATAATATAAGCTAAGTTTTGGAAAGACTGAGTTTGAGAACAAATTTGTTTGATTATCTGAATCATACATGTGACATATATGCAAAAAAAAGAAAAATCAAGAAAGGGAAAATACTTTTTTACAACACTGTATTTAGAAGTTCCCTCTTTATCTTTGAAGATGGAAAAACCCTTTAAAGAACAAAAGACACATTTTTATACTCACATCAGAGACTTTACATAAAAGAAGTAAGTCACAGATAGACAAAGTAGGATGCATAGGAAGATCTTCCTTCTGTTAACCTTTAAAAAGAAACAGAAATTTCACATCAGGCTTTTTGCTGTGATCAATCAACTCCAGAACATTTATAACATAAGCCAACATGTTCCAGTGGACACCAGAGCTTAAAACCCAACTCCAGCCCAAACTTTAAAAAAAATAGTTCTTGATTGATTGAGGAACAAATAGAACAGTGGTCTCCAAACTGAGGCCTGAGGGCTAGATGTAGCACTTTGGTAGCCTTTATCCATCCCTTTGGGCACTATTTCCCTAGTTGTGGAGCATAATTTCTGCCACTGACAGTAATGATGGGGCACTCTTCCTCCAACCAGTATCAATGATGGGTCACTCTTCCTCCAACCAGTATCAATGATGGGGCACTCTTCCTCCAACCAGTATCAATGATGGGGCACTCTTCCTCCAACCAGTATCAATGATGGGGCACTCTTCCTCCAACCAGTATCAATGATGGGGCACCATTCCTCCCACCTATAAAAACAACAAAGCACAATTTCTTCCCCGGATACCAATGGTGGGATACTATTCCTCCAGATAATACCAATGATGGGGCATTACTCCTCCTCCTACTGACCACCAACCCTGATGCCATGTTTTTTTTCACTGATGCTGGGCCTGGGACATTTTCTACCCCCACTGACCACAATCTGGCCCCCCTAAAGTCTGAAGGACAGTAAATTAGCCATTTGAAAAGTTTGGAGACCTCTGGAGTAGAACATCTGGCAGGGCTTAAATTGATATTAAACCCAAATTAACAATCACTAGATGTGGTGGCTACATCCGTTTTTTTTTTTCTCCCCTTTGTTTTCACCTGGCAATCTGGCTAGTAATACACCTCCTGTATTAGTGAGATACCACTCTGTATGAAGGAGCACAGGGGGTACCACTGGACAGCAGTATAACCTTCTGGGATAAAGAATTACATGAATAAATAAAAGCTGATTATTTTAATCATTCCTGCCAGTGGTAAATGGATTGTCTCATCCATGTAAACTGACACATTCAGCTGGAGAGCTTGAACTTCTCCCCTGTAAGGCAATCTTATAAAGTGCTAATGTTTTTATGTGCGAGCACATTATGTGAGACTTACCTTAAAAGGAAGCCCTCCAGAGGCGTACTGTCCCCAAAGACAGGGCTTCTATCTTTACCTGGTCTCGCGGGAGTCATGGCCACAGCACACCTCTCTGAATGGACAGCATACCATCCATTGAGAGCACAGTGCGCGTGCGCCAGTGACGTCACTGGCAGCTACACAAGAAAATATCTCCTAAAACAGTGCATATTTACATTTATTTATACTTTTACATGTTTTACACTTATTATAGGCTTAACTGTAGGTACAAGATAACCTAAAGGACTTTGCTACCACTTTGTAGTCTGTCTCCATTAAGTCTCATTCATAGGGAGGGGGGCGGGATCAAGGAGCAGCAATTTTAACACCCCCACCCAGCTACAAATAGACATGGCAGACAAAGGAGTCTGTAGATATGCCTCAGCAAGGCAAATTAAACTCGACCTGTCAAGTTTGATGGGTAGCACTGCCTGTCAAACACACTCATGGAGATCACAAAGACCGTGCCACAAGCGTGAGCCAATACTTGGCTTGCAGTTGTGACATTGTATTTCAATACAAAATCCTTCTTGGGATTGAAAAAAAAAAAAAAAAGCCACAAAAAGCATTTTTAGGTGACAGGATTGCCTTCTGACCACCTAGAAGCTGTTGCTCTACAGTACATCCCTCCACCACAGATCGATTTTCAGAGGGTGAGGACACAAACTGCTAAAAAAAAACATTTCTTTGTATATCGGAAAAGGGTTAGAGCCTCAGTTATGTCATTACAACTAAGAGCCTAAATGTATGAGGGGCATGAAACCGGGACTTTTGAGTTTATATAATAAAAGAACAAATTTGAAGGAGTGGAAACTATATTTATTTTTTGACATACTCCCCTGCTACACTTATACACTTATCCCAGCTAGTGTTGAGCGCGATGTTCGAGTCGAACGTAAGCTCGATCATTGGCTGTTCCTGTGTTTGCCGAACACAGGAATGGTAAGGGCGTTGTGCATTGTGAGAGCCATGATTGGCCAAAGCAATGCACCTGACCACAGGTCAGGTGCAATGCTTTGGCCAATCACAGCACAATGCACTGTGAGAGCCATGATTGGCCAAAGTCACTGTGACTTTGGCCAGTCATGGCTCATGGCTAAGTCTACGCCCCACACTATATAAGGCTGCTACAGAGTTAGAGTTTAGTGGAGTTAGTGGTGTGTTAGGATGGTAGTGTAGTGTAGTGCGGTGTTGTGAAGAGCAGTGTAGTAGTGCCAGTGTGTTTTACAGCACTTCTGCGTCAATGCTCTTCCCATTTTCTTTTTCTTTGTTAAATTTTTTTTTTCACACACGCTGCTCAAAAAAATTAAAGGAACACTTTACTCAGAGTATAGCATCAAGTCAATTAAACTCCTGGGATATTGATCTGGTCAGTTAGGTAGCAGAGAGGGGGTTTGGTAATCAGTTTCAGCTGCTTTGGTCTTAATGAAATTAACAACAGGTGCACTAGGTGGGAAACAATGAGACAACCCCCAAAACTGGAATGGTTTTACAGGTGGAGGCCACTGACATTTTTTTCCCTACTCATCTTTTCTGACTCTTTTTCAGTAGTTTTGCATTTGGCTAGGGTCAGTGTCACTACTGGTAGCATGAGGCGAAACCTGGACCCTACAGAGGTTGCACAGGCAGTCCAACTCCTCCAAGATGGCACATCAATACGTGCCATTGCCAGAAGGTTTGATGTGTCCCCCAGCACAGTGTCAAGAGCATGGAGGATTTCCAGGAGACAGGCGTTTACTCTAGGAGAGCTGGACAGGGTCATAGAAGGTCCTTAACCCATCAGCAGGACCGGTATCTGCTCCTTTTTGCAAGGAGGAAAAAGGATGCGCACTGCCAGAGCCCTACAAAATGACCTCCAGCAGGCCACTGGTGTGAATGTCTCTGACCAAACAATCAGAAACTGACTTCATGAGAGTGGCCTGAGGGCCTAACATCCTCTAGTGGGCCCTGCGCTCAATGCCTAGCACCATAGAGCTCTATTGGCATTTTCCATTGAATACCAGAATTGGCAGGTATGTGACTTGCGTCTTGTGCTTTTCACAGATGAGAGCAGGTTCACCCTGAGCACATGTGACAGACGTGAAAGGGTCTGGAGAAGAGTATGTTATATTGCCTGTAACAACGTTTGGCATGACCGTTTTGGTGGTGGGTCAGTGAAGGTCTGGGAGGCATATCCATGGAGGGACACACAGACCTCTACAGGCTAGACCAGGGGTCTCCAATCTCTGGCCCTTCAGATGTTGAAGTACTACAAGTCCCATCATGCCTCTGGGAGTCTTGCCTGTCAGAGTCTTGCAAGGCCTCATGGGACTTGCAGTTCCTCAACACCTGGATGGCCATAGTTTGGAGACCCCTGGGCTAGACAGTGGCACCCTACCATTAGGTGTTGGGATGAAATTCTTGGATCCATTGTCAGACCCTACTCTGGTGCGCTGGGTCCTGGGTTCCTCCTGGTGCATGACAATTCCCGGTCTCATGTGGTGTGAGAGCAGGTAGTTCCTGGAGGATGAAGTAATTGATACCTTTGAATGGCCCCATGCTCACCTAACCTAAATCCAATAGAAAACCTATGGGATATCATGTTTCGGTCCATCCAATGCCGCCTGGTTGCACCTCAGACTGTCCAGGAGCTCAGTGATGCCCTGGTCCAAATCTGGGAGGAAATACCCCAGAACACCATCCATTGTCTCATTAGTAGCATGCCCCAACATTGTCAGGCATACTTACAAGCATGTGGGGGCCATACAAATTATTGATTACCATCTTGAGTTGCTGCAATGAAATTTCAGCAAAATGGACTATCCCGCTGAATCATTTTCTCTCTTGAATTTCGGGGTGTCTTTGAATTCAGTCCTCTGTAGGTTGATCATTTTCATCAAATGATGGGGCATCCTTACGTACCTAACACATTACCCCGTCTATATCAGTATAAATATCCAGCATGAGATTTTTCCCCATTGAGATCTGATGTGTGTTTAAAATGTTCCTTTAATTTTTTTTGAGCAGTGTGTGTATATATCTATCTATCCATTCAGTCGTGAATTCTCTTAGCAATTATTTTACAGGGTAGGTTGCCAGGTCTTTCCCCAACCCCTACCATGCAGGAGATCCCACATGGCCAGGGATGAAACTAGGATAGTTTTTTTATTCAGAAGCCAATTAACCTACCAGCATGTCTTTGGAATGTGGGAGGAAACCAGAGTATCCGGAGGAAACCCACGCGAACACAGGGAGAACATGCAAACTCCATGCAGGAGGCACCATGGTCGGGAATCTAACCCATGACCCAATTATTGCAAGGCAGAAGTGCCGCACACACACACACACACACACATATATATATATATATATATATATATACACATACACTAATGATGCAGCAACAGAACCTGATGCTGCAAAAAAAAACAAAAAAAACTTTTTTTTGCAGCATCAGGTTCTGTTGCTGCATCATTAGTGTTCCCCCTTTTGTGTCACAGGAGTTCCTCCTTCTGCATCAGCAGTGGTTTCCTTCTTTTTTTAAATTTAATTTTTCTTTTTTAAATTTAATTTAATTTATTTTTTGTTGCTGCAGCATCACAGGAGTTCCTCCTTCTGCATCAGCAGTGGTTCCCCTGGTCTTTTTTTTCTTTCTTAATTTTAAAAAAATGTATTATATATATATTTTTTTTCGGGGTTTTTTTTGCTGCAGCAATAATATTTAGGGTATAATTGCTGTTTCCCCTTCTGCATCGCAGGTGTTCCTCCTTCTGTGTCAGCAGTGGGGTTTTTTTTGCTTTCTGAATTCTTTTATTTTTTTCTAGCAGCACCAAAATATTTTCTCCATAATTGCTGTTCTTCCTTCTGAGTCGCAGATCTTCATCCTTCTGGGTCACCAGTGTTTTGGGTTTTTTT